TTAGGCTGTAAGTATCGAATTATTTTATAAATTAAGCATTTTATGTTACGGATGATTGTGAAATCGGATAATGGTAAAATTGTATATATTTTATAAACCAATTTTAAACTTTTGGGCCTTTTGTTACTTTTTTTTAATAGTTAAGTCAGGATTAGGGGTTAGAGTTATTAATAAGGAGGTATAGATGGATTTTGGTGGAGATTATATTTCAAATTGAAGCCCCATCTCCGATTTTATGACCATCCGCGACATTTTATAATAACCTACTATTAATTAAATATTTTCTAATTATTTATATATAAATTATTAGGCGGTGAGTATAAGACTATTATATAGTTTAAAACTACAATAATTAAAATTTTAAACCCTTTATAATTCTTTATATATAAAATAAATCACTAGCCCGTAAGTATGAAATTGTTTTTTAAATTAAAAAAAAACCATTATAATAATTTGCTATTAAATAAAACATTAATTATTTATATACAAATTATTAGGCTGTAAGTATAAGACAATAAATTAAAGCTTTATAATAATTTATTACTAAATCAAATATCACTAATAATTTACCAGAAATGGATGTAATAAAAAGTATGGCTAATTACAAGTAAAGGTAACCTATACGATTCATAATATTGATTAGATAATTATTTTCTGCGTGTTTGATAGTTTATATTTGTATAATGAGACCTTTTATACATCTATGTATTATATAAGCCAAATTTTATAGTGGTGCAATAAAAACATTTTATGATTAAAATAATGGTTTATAACATACAGTAGGATTAGTATTCAAATAATAAATTAGTACACTTAGAATTATTATTAAAAATTTTTGAAAGTTCTTGTTCAGAAAAATATTCCATAAGATTGAGCAATTTAAAAGGTATATAAAAGAAACTGTTTTTAAAAAATGCGGATGACAAACACATAGAATGTTCTCAAGCATCGATCTAGATACGATTTCATAGTGATCAAAGTACGTATTATGATGAGTATTGTATAATTTTAGCTATACTCACAACATTTTAAATAAGAGTCAATAATACGAATGACAATATTATTGAGATGTGCTCGAGTATTGCTATTACTCTGATTTACTAATAATTGTAGTAGGGATAGCAAATGTTTTTATTACATAATTAAAACAGACAATGATTATATGACTTTGTATATGCTTAGATCCAGATTTAAACATTCAGACTTTAGTCATCACCTGTTTTAAATCGGGGAAAAAGTGTTCTAAACAGTCTTTACGATTCCTAAATTGTAAACTGTAATGATTAGTAATTGAAACCGGGACGAGTCAATCCAAGTGGGTCGGGTCAGTGTTGTCACGTATACTATGTCCAAGACTTTTTTAGACCATGTACAATGTTCATGTCCAAGAATGTCTACAGCATATACAATATATTAATTTAAAAAATATATGATTATATATCTTTTACAGTGCTGAATATTTTTATTTGTCCAAAAAATGTCCACAACTGTCCCATGCCGACACTGGGTCGGGAAACTCATACAGTAACCTCAAAATTCTCTGAGTTACATGAAATTAAATCGACGATCCTTAGTGATAATCGCTTAAATCTATTTAAATTTTGAGCGATGATACAGTATCTCGATAATTACATAATTAAAATTGACAGTACATCGCTCAAAGTTTGGAAAAACTTTGAACGTGATCTTAATAATGATGACGAAATATTCATTTTGACTGCTTGAATGTGCGTACCAAGATTTCAAGATCAGGTGGAACGTAACACGATCAAGATAAACCTTATTTCTCAAAAATTAGCATAAGAAAATGATATTTAACTCTAACAAAAAGTTTTCATTGGAAAATTTTACTGTATAAACTTCTCCCCTCTAATTCCTAGCACCCTAACATAAACGATCTTTAAAGAATTTTTGCTGCGTCACGAAACTAGCACATATTCAAGTAGTGCATTTCGTCAGGCAATCAAGTCACCGTATAGCCTCACACGTAAATACAACTCTAAACTGCGGCAAAGCATACCTCCAACCCAAAATTTTCTTCCTCATCAAACTTAGTCACTTGATTCTGTCATTTAACAGCCGGCTTTCTGCAACAGGCGGGAAACCACCGGTTGATAATCAATCAAACAATGCCTATCTAATTTCTAATTGCTCTGTGACAGAGACTTTCAGTGCAATATCTATTACTAAATTCGGGATGTTCGTTGTTTCTGTGCTATTAATCTCCATCTATTGGTGCTACATTTTACAATACACTTTTATGTTTTTCGGTGACTTAATAACATGTAACTCCAGGATGGTAAGTCAGATCTTCAATCTGTAAATACAAAGTATCTTAAACCCTTATTTTTAGTGACCTTACATTTGCCCGTGTGCCTTTATATCAAACCATATTAAGAGTATATATAGTGACAAAAAATTCTGGATTCAGACGAATGCCTCTCACAACTTATTTGTTAAATAAGTAGAAAAGCAAACCACGCTGAAAAATGATTAGTGAGTAAAATTAGTATGTCTATGCTGTAAGAAGTTTAGAAACAGGTTAATAAGGAACGTTTATATTTAACAAGAATCTTGATAATAGATTTGTAAAATAAGGTTCCAAAGTACAGTCAGACCCCCTAAATGCTGCCCCTTATGTACACGTCCTATGAAACACTTCCCTAAATGAGTGACGAAAAGGGAAAACCTGTAAATCATTTCACTCATTGTCACTCAAATACACGTTCCTTTTTGGGCCTAACTAGGTCATTAAAGTAACGCAGCATTCTAATAATGTATATATATATGGTCCAGTGCAAAATGATTTGTACAGTACATCAAAACTTTAGTTAAAAAGTATTATTAATAAAAGTTTTTAAATTGTTTATAATATAATTATAAGTTTTTACAAGTTAAATCATAATATTTAACCTATTTTTTATTAATTATATTATTTTATAATTTTTCTAGACAAAAATAGATGAGAGTTAATATCTTTATAAATTTAAAAGTTTAAACCTTGTTATTACACAAGTAGCTAGCTATAGATTCAATAAAATTATATTTAAAATTTTATACAAAAATAATTACTAGATAAAAAGTTATTAAACTTCAAAGTTTATATATTTGTATTAAAAATTAATAATTTATTACATACTATAATTTATTAATAAAACTAAGTTTAAAAGTTTATTAATAAATTTTTTATATTTTATATAAAATAAATATTTAAATTATAAAATAATCTTTTTTATTTTCTAAAAAAAAATTATATTAAAATCTTTCTCATATTCTAAAAAAAGATTTTAAATTAAAAAATAATTAACTTTAACAAATAAAAAAATTTATTATTTATTTTTATTTGATATACAAATCTTTTTGCACTGGACCATATATAATAATATTTATCTAAAAATAGCATTTGTTCTCTCGTAATCGTATAATTTATACCGAATAGTTCCGGAAATAGGCACCCTTTTTTTGCATGTAATGCTGGCCAAGATCATTTTAATGCAGGCCAAAATCGATATAGTGCAGGCAAGGGTGCATGTTTTCGGGGTGCTTATTTTTGTAAATATACGGTAATTTCGGGGGTTTGTCCTATACTGTATTTATTATGAAAAATTTTCTCAGATCATTTTTTGTCTTTTGTTAAGATCTATTGGTTGGTAAGAGCAATCTTCATCATAAATTTTCGTACAGAGCAAACATACCAAACATACTGATTCATAACTGTGACTAATGACATCGAAATACTATATAAAACTTTTTATTATACTTCTAAAATTTGTTAATAAAATCACAAGATCATGCGTAACTTAAAAAATTCGAAAAACCAGAAAATCGTAAATAACTCAAGATTTTACTATGATAACCACACAGTTTGACTTCTAAATAAAAATTTTCGACATGAAATTTTTTTTATAAGAGTATATTTAAATATCGAACATCAAATAAATTACATTCTAATCCTTTCGATTTAAAAACTTTACTAAAAATTTTTTAATAAAAATTTTTTAAAGCCTCAATTTTTGTTCCAACTTTTCATAACTGTCTCGTGCACATACATACGTACGACGACAGTGGCTTACGGAAGCTAGATGTCATACCAAATATTTGGCTTATTGCTTCATTTAGACGTATACGTATTCGCACGTGAATACATACGTACGAAAAATGTTGTGCGAAAGGTTCAAATTACTTAATGCACCTGATAGATAAGTGAGTTACGCAAGAGCATCAAAGAAGCATGTACATCAAAGTGCATATTACCATTTTTTAAATCGTGTAACAATTTTCCATTTTATGGGACGGTTATGTTAATCAGCTGATTATAATCAGGCTGCACTGGATATGAATATTGTACGTACGTACATTTGTACATATGTAATAATTTGTAATTCTTCAATTACTACGTAGCATTAACTAAAATTTATCTTAACCCTAACGTTAACAATAATTCTTACTTAAAAACTCTAATTTAGTTAAACAATTTACGGAATTACCATTAAGGGCAACCTGATTTTGATTAGAGTCGATTCCATTTTAGGGTAAGTACAACATCTATATAATTTCCTGCACTATATAATCTTAATTGTGATCATTACAGTAACAAGACAAAGCCCCTGTATTTTGAAGTTCATCTAGAGATGTGTATGCGAACTATACGCTAGATTTTCGTGGGAAAAAGACGAGCAGGCATAGGGAAATTTCGGGACGGACAACCTGTGAGTAGCAGCAAATCTTACGTAGTTTATACGAAGAAAATCCCACTTACTATAAATGGAACATTCTTTAGATCCGCCACAAATCCAATTATCTGATTTATTAATAATTAAAAATGATCGCATCAGTACGTATACATACAATCTATTTTCTTTGTTAGCTTAAATAGAGCATACTTGGTGATCATTCCAGAAATAAATAAATAAATAAAAAGATAATGATTAATATTAACTTGCCCTCTTTTTTTTTTGTTGAAAAATCCTGAAAGTATTTTTCTGACGTTAAGAGAAAAAATGTTACGATATGATAATGTCGTCTGCTCAGAAATAGCAGGATTCATATCAATAGCTTGTTGGATGGTAGTTGGTTTTCCGTATGTATTATGGTTTATGATATAATTAATAATTTAGTTAATAATAATATAGAAATAATTTATTTTTAATAATATAGAATTATTGCAACTAATTTGATAAACGAATTTATTTTTTTATTGCACCAGACAGCTTTATGAAAATTATAAGCGAAAGTCAGGTGATTCAGTATCACTACCTTTCGTTTATATATGGTTACTTGGTGACTTTTTTAACTTGCTCGGTGCTATCTTACAAAATTTATTGCTAACAGTGGTGAGTCGTAGTTAATCATCCTGCGAAAATATTGTTGAATTATGCGGAGTCTTATCCATAATCAAATGGTTTGATACATAATCTCACATGAATCTATCATAAAAAAATTCTTTTCATACTAATATGTGATATTAATATTATAGATTCTAATTGCGATGTATCATAACGCAATCGATTCTTTAATTATATTACAAATCTATTATTATCGTTTTCGTAGAAAGTATAGAAATTATGACTTCGACGAAGAAGTATCTCTTCTTCAATCAATGCGCACTGATTCACAAACATCTCAAACATCTCAAACATCTATATATCAATCAAGGGTCAAACAATCCTTGGAAATATTAATAGGACTTGTTGGTGTTTGTGTTGCTGGAGTTATTATGTATTATATCTCTACTCTATTTAGGAATAATGAAAAGGATGGGAAAGATGGTCAACAACATATGGAATTACTACCACAGATTTTTGGATGGTGTAGCGCCATGCTTTATCGTAAGTTTTCTTTTAATTCTGTAATTTAGATGTGAGAATCATTAATTAATACAATATATACTAGTACTTTATATATTGCATGTATAATTTTATTGTGTAATTGACATTGAATCACATTCCCATTGAATCTTAGTTGGTGCAAGAATTCCTCAAATTATTCAGAATCATAAGTCACAATCTACTGAAGGATTATCACTAGCTATGTTTTGTTTTTGTGTTTTGGGAAACGTTACATTTTGTTCGGTATGTATTAAATGTAACAATTTGTTTACGTAGTAACTTGAAATATTTGTAATCAACCAATTTATATACATATATATATGTGTGTGTTTAACATTATAGTCAATATTATTTTACTCGACGGAGTTTAAGTACTTACTCATAAACCTTCCTTGGCTGTTGGGAAATGGAGGAACTTTATTGTTTGACTTTATTGTAAGCTTTATACAATTTTATCTATTCTGGAGTTTTAATATCCATGATATTCGACTAATATCTAATTTCTTTAATGTTCTAAAAAAAAAAAAGATTTTATTTCAATTTTATATTTATAGAAATAGATCTAATTAATTCCAGAAGAAATATCTTTAAATTTTAATGTAACATATAAAATCCGCGCCACGTTTTATAAAAGGCGTAATAAATAAAATTTTTTATCGATATTAGCTCCGTAATACTCCGTAATATTGAATTACAATTTACTGCACGTTTGTGTTATAACATTTATGACTCATCGAGTCATTCCTTTTTTCAAAGTCAAACTTTGTATCTTTAAATTATAAGGCGGGAGCAGGATTCATCTAAATTTTAAAGTCTTCCACTCCGCACTTCTTCTCTCCAGCCCAATTATCAAGGAAGCAATGTGTTTCTTACTATATAAATCAAAAAAAATACCTATAATTGAATATTTTATTTAGCCTATCTTTACTTTTAAATTAAAAAAATCGAGCCTACTTTAAATATCTTTATTCTGACATTTTAAAACAAGTAAAATTTATCATGTAAATAACAAATTGTGAAATGACATATTCTGTATGGTTATAATAAACGGATCTATGTCACCGACCTAGTATTTCCCCGACAAGTTCACTGACAGCTCATTCCACCGCAAGTTGCTTTAAAAATTGCACTAACATTAACCCCAATTTTAAGCCCGATGAATTAAATTGTTGACGAAATAAACTTGTTTACAGTATGAATTAAGTATGTTCTGCGTCATTTCACAATTTAGATCAATTCAAAATTGACCGAAGTCATTTTTAAATTTTGAAACGACGTACTTTATTTCTCAATCGGTGAAAAAAAAAATTTTATACGACTGATGATT